CTTAAAATGTGTAAATCAGTGACTATCTACTCACGGCTGGTACGCGTCAAGTCCATGGAGGCGGATAGCTTTTTTTAATTCAAAGTGGCGTTTGTGATTTGGATAAGTTTATAAGCTTAATCATGTTACACATAAGGATAACGACGCATGGTAGATTTAGCCATTTGATACCTTCTTCCTTGCATCTTTGTAGCTTGTTCTTGGACATAGACAAAAGTTCTTGATTTTAAATTATTATAATACAAGTTATATAAAGCAAATGATGACATTTTACAAATGTTTGACATCCAATATAGCCTGGAGTTTCAGTTCAGAATAAGAAAGATAAGAATAACAATATCTACTTGAAAAGTAACATTATACTATACCAGTTACACAGTTTTTAGTACTTCTATTACTGTAATAGTCTTCATTTATAATTTGTGTCAGGCACAGAAGGCTGATCACCTACTTGCCTATTAGAAAAAAAGAGATACAAAAATCTGAGGCTAAGACACATATGGGTCGCAGAGCCAGGGGAGTGAGTGTAGTTATGGCTTGGATACTCCATTTTTAGGCGACCTTTCTGCGGGAAGCAGGCAGCAGAGACGGTGAAAGACGGTTGCGCATTTAGACGAATGATAATGATCATGATTCTTTACAGTCGATTAGGGGGCGTCCATAAATTACGTGAGGTGTTTTTTTTAATTTTTCCCCCCCCTTGTGAGATGTCGTGAGATTTTATTCAACCCCCTCCCCCATCCCCCAATCTCACGTGAGATTTTTCAAAATGTGGGTACGTACGTGTGGGTCTTACGTAAACGCATAAGAAGCTATCTTTTTGAGCTCGGAGAACTCAAAATAACACAGAATTCGTACTATTGAGCTCGAAGAGCTCAAAAACAAAATAAGTGAAATGTTGAGCGTTTAGGTATGGAGTTAGCGGGAAGTTGCAAAGATGGCCTTAAGGGTCAACCGTTTTCCTAATTTTTTTTTTCAGTCAGAAAAAAAATTGCGTGATATTTGCCCCCCCTCTCTCCAACGTAAGATTAAATGAGATTTGACTCAACCCCTCCCTCCCTTAAACACCTCACGTTATTTATGGACGCTATATATAAAATTAACATTATTATTATTATTCCTTGTACAACTTCAACAAACGACTCATAATTAAAGTTCACTACAGAATTACGTTTGCTCCAAGATTAAGAATTAGTAATTGTTTCTTCGCACCTGCAAACTACTTTCACGTTTCCACTTGCTACGTTTCAATCTACACGTGTTTTGATAACACGTATTTATTGCTAAGTTCGCCGCAAACAGGTTGTTTTACGATAAATTCTTAGGTACCAATTTCGTAGTGCAGACCACGAAGTAATGGAAACATTTACGTAACTCAGTCATGTATCGTATACCTTCATATTATAACCAGCAAAAAGATATATTTATTGTAATTAAAATGTGCTTAAAAACTGTGGTATCCCTCATTAGATATATTCGCTTTGTTATTCCTCTTTTATATTAAATATATCTAAAATAATATATGCATCTTATAATTTATTATATATAAGTAGGTAATAATTATTGTTAACTGTGTTTTATGTTTACTTATAAATGAGTATTCTGTATAATGTAATTGTTTAGATATTGTATAATATATTAATAAACATTAACTTGTATAATTGCAAAACTAGCACCCGTATGATTTGTAATTATTATAGTATGGAATTGAAGTGGCTTTATTGTTATATAAGTTGAACCATTAATGGTGTTCCTAATAACAATATTTCTTATTTCAAAATCAGTAATCCTTGTATAAGAGACTTAAATGTTGAAAGATCGCTCTAAATTAATACTGAATCTTAAAATTATATTAGGTTATAAATATTATTTAGTATTAGGAATTGTTTGAAGAATATTTCTTATTAAACATGTCACTCACCCTAGACCAGTGTTTTCTAAAGTGGGGCCCACGGCCTACAGGGGAAACTTTGATCGTTAAGGGGGGAAATCGAAATCAGCTGGATATAACACAACGTGGAGACTTGAGACTGAAGCTAACCAAATTGCAACCCAATATAAAATCGCAGCAGGCATCAAGCGCAAGGATCTCACTGAATTAATATAGAAAATTCTTTATTAAAATTATTTGGAATTTGAATTCCAGTTTTTCATTATGTTTTGAAAATTTATTTATTGTTTCATTAGCAATTTCCTTGTAATTTTTTTTCCTAATACCTATCATTTAAATTTCTTAAGTGTTTTTTTTTAATATATACATTATGTAGGTTACATAGGGGGAATGCTTTTTTTGTTTTGCTTTTCCCCCCATATTACGCATAATTTTTTTAAGATGGTACAAAAATTGTTGGGAAACACTGACTAGACTCTTCTTGAGAAATCCAACTTTACTGGGAAAAAGCAAATAAAATATTAATTTTGCAACTGTCCAATTGGTCAAATATTTTTTTAATGGCATGTTCAATGACTAATTAGTCTAAAAAGGGTATTTCATAGACTTGATATTGATTACAAATAGCCATTTAGAACTGTGTATGCGCATGTCTTTACCTGTATTTGATAGCCAGTTGTACTCGTCAATCGCTCAGTAAGATTGGCTCAGTTTCCAATGATTACTGAGAAAGCTCTTTAGAGCTTTTCTCAAATGAAAATTGTTCCAATTTCGCCTCCTTCAACCGTTAATAAATACTAGTACCGTTTATCAATAACGTCCCTGGATATTCTTTTCTAATGTTTTGGAAACAAATACAATATTACTCAGGGATTATAAAATTCTAAAAGCGAAAGAATTTTTCAAATCGATTTTTGTATATTCGTTAAGGCGGGCTGAAAAGTTTGTAGACTAACATAGAACCAATCTTTTTGTTTTTTGATAAATATGATTTGATTATTCAATATAGTCTTCGAGAGGGATACAACAATTATAAGCAGTCATACAATCGTTCGACACCATTCGATACTATATCTCAGAAACTAATGTATGACAGTTGTCAAATTTAAACACGTGGCTTTTGAAGGTTAGGGCCAACTAAAAATCATATTAATTTATTACTAGTAGCGCATCTATGTGTGAATTACAAACTTGTCAGCCCACAATACAAAAATATTTCCTTTAATACTGCGATTGCGTCCCAGTGCACGTAAAACAATTTCATGTATCGGTACCTGTGTAGTATCCAAGCCTTGTATCATTTATAATACATGAAATTAAACTCCCTTACATTTGTGTTTGTATAAAAATCGTATTTAACTAATTTAGGGTCAGACTATTCAAATATACATTAATCTAACTTAGTAAATGAATCATAATTTGTAATAGATCTAAATTACATTATTAATTACCTCCGATTATACTTTTGTGGATAATTGTTTCCGGTCGGAAGGCGTAAAAGGCTGTATAAAAAACTTATCACAGAAACAGTGAAATGGTCCATTTACTGTGATGGTTTGGGTACGTTTTAGAGTCTTTGAGTCCGTAAATGCGAATGTTTGAGATGTGATTGGTTGCTACAAGACGGTAATATAATTTTTTTTTAAATAAAGAGATTGGTTTTATTAGTAATCATAACAATCGAATGTACAGTATTTAAAACTTTCTTAACCTACATAGTAATAATAAAAATAATAAAAAGAAAATTAAAACAATTTTAAAAAGTTTGGTCCCTGTGGCAGTGTACCTTTAACGCTGGCAGCATTTCCTCGCTGTATTGCGATACTTATTCGTTGAGCGAGGAAAGCACCAGCTCTAAGGTTACCGGTACTATCTATCAGGCGCCAACTTAAATCTTTAATTAGCGTCTGTACATTTGAACCTCACGGCTTAAGAGTCTCTACTCCAAAGGGAACAAAATCTGTTTGTTTCCCTTGCAGTAGAGACCCTTAAGTCAAAAGTCAAAAATCATTTATTCATATAGGTAGCACAATGTACACTTATGAACGTCAACAACGAGAAGAACTGGCAATAAACTCTCCGCCACTCTTTTTAATCGCCAAGTTTTTTGTTTTCCACAACGTTTGTAAGGAGCTGCAACCATTACGCCATGGTCCACATGACATCTTAACATCGTTACTAATAAAATAATATTGACTTCGAATTCAAATAAATAATTTCATATAGAATTCTATATTTCCAGTTTCTACGGCTGGCTTCGCTCAGACTTCCTCTTCCGTTGTGTAACATTGTTCCATTTATGTCAAGGTCCATCCCGTTGGGATACGCCTTATAAGCCCCAGTTAAATGAGTACGCGTTTAGACCTGTAATCGTGACTCTCTTTATGCAAAGGCCACACGTTTTGTAAGTATTTTTATAACAACGTTCACAAAAGAGAGTGCGGCTTTACATTAATTACAATCTAGCCTATACAATATTTAGGGCAAGTAATATGTTAGCTTCAGTTTTAGTGAATAGCTTAAATTCTGGTAATGTTCGTTTACAGTCTTAGGGTCTGTTTCACAATGTATGGATAAAGTACCAAATAGCTATGCAACACATAAATTATTTGCAAGATAAATTGTGCTATTTGTCACTTCATCGGACTCATAACTTATGATGGACTTTATGTGACGAATAACGCTATCTGACAGTCGTGAAACGCAACAATAGTGTTTATCCTACCAATAATTAATAAATAGCTAATTTGGAACTTATGTAGAACTTATCCGTACATTGTGAAACAGACCCTAGTGTTCTATAATGTTTTTTTTTGTTTTTTTCGTCGTCGACTTTTTGAGTAAAGCAAACTGGTTTCTCACGATGTTTACCTTCACCGTTCGAGATAATAAATGCGCACATAGAAAGAAAGTCCATTTGTGGACAGCCGGGGATCAAACCTACGACCTCAGGGATGAGAGTCGCAAGCTGAAATCACTAGGCCAACACTGCTCGAAACAGTAAATACTTCAACCATACAAGGATGTTTCCACATTCCATTTAGGCCATGCAAATTACGCATTACCATTGTCAGAACATGATAAACATTTTTCTCTATCAGTCAAGTTTTTACAAAGCATAATCATTTGCATGTAACACCATATGAGGTAAGGAATGTATTCTCCATATCGCCTGTTCCACTGTACATGTTAAGACAATTAAGGAGCATGGTGTAAAGATAACGTAAATTACTTTTCGAAAGATGTTTTGTTTTAATAAATTCAAAAATTTATTCAAGGGGTGCCACCGATTGTCAAGAAGGCCAGTCGAAGTAGGTACAGAGGATGAAAAGAATCTGAAAGAGCTAGTGAATACTTCATAAAACATGCAAACCAAAAAAATATTAATTGTCTTTTCAGCACTACACAGCGATACACAGCGGCCAATCAAATTTATTGTAAAATATTTAAAAAAATCAAATATATAATATCTATGAGGAATAATAATAAAGTTTGACAAAATAATTATAAAACAAAGGTGTTTTGTTTCTCTTGAGTGAATTAATTAATTACAATTAAACATAATTTGACAGAGACGAGTAGGTACTTAAGAGAGAGCTATCTATAAAAACGATTTAAGTTTGATCTGTACATATGTGCATTGGAAAATATGTAAGTATTTAGGCGTCCTAACAGGTAATATAACCAAAACTTCTCAGAAATTAAGTTATTAATTGATATAAGACTTTTTTCCAACATAGGTAATCAAATATCATTGAAATCCCTTCAGTAGTTTTGATATTGTTGTATTAGCTTTGTTATCATAGTCTGATCGTCGGTTATTTAATAGAAATTTTTACATCTTGATAAAATCATGGAATTTACATCAAACTCATACCAATTCTTCTTATATTTACATAACTTGACGTTGCAATTGCTTTTTCTTTTCTCGTGGTCAGCGCAGGACTGACAACTGACACTGATGACAGATAACTGATAACTGAATTTACAGAAAAAAATGTGCACCTCTTAACCATGTCCTATCCCGCTCAATCGTGTCTTTTGTAATTCATGTATTTCTTATTCTTTTGCATTGTATTGTAATACATAAATCAAATTAGCTCTTAGGTTTTAGTTTATTTGATCAATTTCTTGTTATTATTTTAGATTAAGTTTGGTAACTAAAATTTTTCAGTGTTACTTGTAATTTTATTTTTGTTGAATTTGTTATTTCTTTTGTTTGTTCCTTACTAGGGTTGCCTGGAAGTCGTTTTTACCAATAAAGACACCCGTTGCATCCCTAATAATTTATGTTATTTGTTTTTCTTTTAATGTAACTAAGTTTATATAATTATAAAACATTATGTATATCAACGCCATCTATGGGCGAATGACTATAACTAATTGCTTTGCAGCTATCAAGGGTTTTAATCCAGTTATGACCTGGATCATAGGAAAAGGAAAGACGATTTATATCTCTATCAACTTTCCTATTAGCGGTATAAATAGCTATTTCACATAATGAAGTTATCAAGCAGTTGGGCTACATAATGTTTTTTTTAACAGGCACGCAATCAGGCAGATATCTGAACGAGAAGCTAAGCTGCAGGGGAGTGTCGAAATCTCCGCTTTCCTACAAAAGGACTTTATTAACTTAAAGGGTTGGCGTCTCCCGCCGGACCCGAGCGACAACTACCTTGGAAATATCCTCATAATATTTATGGGCGAGTCGGGGCACGCTGCCCGGTGCCACAAACGTTATCTCTCGTGCTATTTATGTTAGTGACATATTTGATAATCTTGCAGCAGAATTTTTCCAGCTGCGATCTGTACTCCAGCAACATGTCGGATAGCCCATCTGGGGATACCCTCATGCCAGTATCGAGCTCTAGATCACACCTGGCCCTTTCAAAAGTCGCACAGTCACCAAGTAAATGAACCACCGTTTGGTCGGTTCTTTCTTCACAGTCACACGCGGGGCTTTTCTTCAATATGAGTCTGTGTCCAAAAGCGCTACATAATGGTAGCAAGGTAACGAAATTGACTGAAGCTTTTATTAATCCCATATTTCATTATCACATAAACGTAAAAGACTCAGTTATAATATTTATTTATCAAGCATTGCTACTACAATATAAATATTTAGACGTACGTTTGATCCAGTTATAAAAATAAGATACATTTGAATATACAACTAGACCTCTGGTTGTGTCCGGTCTCTTGAAGGAAACCAGCCCCACTTGAATGTAATCATTTATGATTAAGGCGCTGCCGGAATCACCTCTGAAAGTAAAGCTAATATATAAACAATAGTATATTTGAATTAACAACAGTATTTTGGTATAAAATACACAACGCTACAACCTTTCTAGGTTTGGTCCTCAGATTTCTGTATCTATTTCATGATCATTTGTCTAATGGGCAAGTAGGGGCCAGTGTGACACACGCCGTCGTCTTTTTGGGTCTAAAGCAATACAAATTCCTCACGATGTTTTCCTTCACCGTACGAGCGAATGTTAAATGCGATATAGAAATAAATTCCATTGGTGCACAGCCGAGGATCGATCCTAGGACCTCAGGGATGAGAGTCGCATACTATAGCCACAAGGCCAATACTGCGTATGTTGGTAAACTTCGATAAAAAATATAAAGAAATTGAAGGTATGGGAGATTCTGGTTAATGACTGTCATAGACTTGTAAAGTAAAAATTCTATTAGAAATTCTATTTGTTACCATGGTTACCATTTTGTATTAGATTTAAAATGTTATGTAATACATAATGTATAAATATGTGGAACCAGCTGTCCACTGAAGTATTTCAGAACAAATTCGACTGCGATTCATTCAAGAAAATAGCGTATCAATTCATAAACGCCGGCAACGCCCTCGCAAGCCCTCTGGCATTGAGAGTGCCTATTGTGAGTGAGAGTGAAGTGAAAAGGTTTCGACAACTACGGGATGTCAGCATTGAAATTATATCTTAATTTGAATAGGATAGATAACAGTAAAAGACCATAAAAGAATCCTTACTCAGAAGCATAACTCGTTTCTGTTGTATCACCAGCACACAAGCTACCCGTTGGGATTCCAGGCAACACTCTTCTACATTCAGACAATGTCCACACCTTTTGATTTGATGAATGCAGCCAGCTACTTCTCACGCCATCTTCTTCCTTAAATAGTTTATAAGATAGTATCAAGATTCGGCAAGTTGTTAGAAAATAATGTAAATTTGTGGTAATAAAATGTGTTTTAAACCATACTTTGTTTTATTTTGTACCTTTGGTAGTCCGCGGAAAGAGACGTGGCAGCTATGATAACATATATCTATTCACAAGACACAAACATATACACAAATATTTTTTTGTGTATGTGTTGAACTGTATGTGTCACACCGCTCTTCAGCGGCATCATGGTTATCTCCGTTAGTCTAGTTTCTATTATACACTAGTTACCTATATGTATACTAATTATTAGTGGATACAAAAACTTACATCAATGAGTCCCCAACCCGCAACAATAGCCAATTTCTTATTCGGAGGTGATTTAAGAATTGCCACTCTTTTGACATTATCTCCCAACGCTAAAGGCCTCTCGAGCACAGCCAGTCCTATATCATTCTTTATTTCATCTTCATCATAATTTTCATGTATTTTAAAACTAGATACACGGTATTTAAGTCCTCTAGATTTATGTGCATTGCCAACAAAAGCGTTAACATTACTAGCGCTGCATGATTCAAAACAATGAGCTGCCGTTAGCAGAATTTTCTGATTTAAAATTGATGAACCACATACATACGCCCCTCCAAAATCTCGTATTGAGAGAAACACTGAATGTGCAAAATACTCTATTTGGGCTTTATCGCCGCGTACAACGAATCCTTCGAATGCACAACTAAATTTAACAAAAGCGAGAAAAACCAGTTCCAAAATCATGTTCTCAATGTAATCACTGAAGAGAAATAATTGCTTTTGGATTCAGTTTGTCATTTTCCGGTTATTTTACGAGTCATTGCGATTTAATTGCTACATTAGTTTTATGATTTACGTCATAATTGTTTAATTATGTTTAATAGGAGGTTTTTCTCGATGTAATCACTAAGCAGATGAAAACTTGCGGCGATCAAATTCTAAATCACAAATGTGAAAATTCTATATGTTTTCGGACGTAATTAATCTACTATGACCAACAAATGTTTCATTCCAGGTGTACTAATTAGTTAATACCACTGGATGTACCTACCACGTATTGGGTTTGATTTAATAGTTTCTCATTCCAGGAAAGATGTCTCAAAATAATTTTAAAGTTTTATTGAAATAAGTGCAAAATAAATCTATTATGGATAAAAGACCGCATGAGAGTAGTATTTGGAATTAGTCAAGTTATATTTATTATTTCTTTATTAAAGTTTACCACATCATACATAATACTAATACTCTCTTTTAGCTAAAATACTAGTAACTTTTTAAGCAGTAGTTAAAAAGAATTACCAGCAAAACAGCGGATTAGGTACGAGATAGGCAATTAACAATGCTTTCTTTAAAATTGATCAGCCCGCTACCGATTATATGCAGCTCCGAATAAGTACTGTTCAATCCCTTAAAATCGCGAAGAATTCGAAAGAAGTGCTTGAACTCCTAGATTGCTTTTTGCAGATATAATTTGGTAAATTTTGCTAGTTTTAGACCTTGGGAATTGAGTCAGGGACGACAATATTAATACCTTGCAAGACGTCACTGCTCTGAATTGATTATTTAGCCATTTTGTTTATGGGTAATCATTCCCACTAACATGTAGTAACTCCAAAAATATTTCAATTAACACTGATGATTGCAGAACAAAGTCATATACAACTTTCACTCATTCGATACATTTAATAAACTCTTTTGACGATGTGATGTAGAAGCGAATATGCAAGAAGTTATGATTCCTTTTTCACGTTAGCCAGCTCGAAGTGTTGACCTCAATCGAATTGAGCATGTCAGGGATGTTCTAAAGAGTCAAGTAAGATCAGTGCAATCTGCTCCACAAACGTCAGGAGCTAAAGAGAGTCATTGCAGAGAGAGAACATATTAAAAACATCGTAGAAAGCATGCCCAGAAGAATTCAAGCTGTGATTTCTTCGAAGAATCTTCTTTCCTTTATTGCCGACCACTTCTTATGTTTGGCCGGGAACATCGGGTTTAAATTCATCAGTAATAAAAAAGCACCATTTCCAGAATTTCCATCACGCGTATTAATTTACACAGTCAGACAATTAAATTTTAATTAACTTAAGTCAACCTTAGAACGTAAATTTCCTTAGGTGCCCGTTTACTGGTGAGACTTATACAGAAATAATACTGAATTTCTACAAAAATCCAAGGATACGATATCTGCCCTAAGAGATTAAAACTTCTACTTTAGTTGCTAGTATGGGAATTTTTCCTTTCTCAGTTAATCTTCTAATCTTAAGGCAGTTATTCACGGTCTACCAGTTTCTCTAACAATGTCGTTCCACTTGGCCAATGATCTTTGTACCCAAGCTACAACCATCAATTGTTTATCAAACGTCAATGCTAGTGTCACGCCCACTGTCAGGTGCTTATACATTGAGAAGTTCAAAAATTTATCTTTTATTGAGGAACTCACTTTATAATAGAATTAGGATTTTGCATTTTCGTCGCATAAGCCGGCTTTGAATAGCTCAGAACTTATTTACTACACTAGCTGCCCGCGAGAACTTCGTTTCTCCTTAATGTGAGAGTATATTATTATTTCTAGGAAACATTTTTTTAGTTCAATAAAAACAACTATCTACTATAATAAAAAATAGAGGTTGATCGTAGAGGGGTGACAATTAAGGGTTGTATGTATTTTTGTATGCTGTATCATAAAAAAATAAAAATTTAGGGGTTTGAAAGAATATGCATAAAAAAATTCACAAGAATCGGTCGATCCGTTTCGGAGGAGTATGGGAACGAACATTGTGGCACGAGAATTTTATATATTAGAAGAAGATAAGTCTTTAGTTTTGATTACTTCCCCATTAATCACTAAGATGTTTTGACAATATTCCGTTGTTATAAATTATGAGGACGTCATTACATAATTAATGAAGTTTTATTTTTTTAGACATACATATAAATAAATTAAATTTTAAAACTAAAATTATCTATATGAATAGCTTGATTAATTTATTAAAACTTTCTGAACATCTCTTGTTTCCATAATTCACGTATTTTTTAATTGTTTTAATATAAAGAAATTAATTTTTTAAACTGTTTTGTAGCCTTTCTGATACTCGTAAAAACTGTCAATATTCAGTTAAAACTACACCTACAGTACGACAAATAATACTTAGGGTTATAAAGCATTTATTAACACGTTCGTTGCATTACGAGATCTATCAGATCTCTTGCAGGACTTTTGTATTGTGCGTTGAACATAATCGTGTTTTTTCACTCCTTGCGGGAGGATCTAACTTGTAAAGTTCTTTAAGGATGAGCAGGACAAATATACATATTTGCTTCGTACTTAAGCCTGAATTCAAGGACTTTAAAAAATAAATTAGAGATGGATTAGGTCCCTAACGCACAGTACTGTAATTGTTTTAATTCCTTGCGTTAGGAGATATGTCGGTACTCGTGAAATCGTACTGAGGACGGAGGATGGGATTTTTAGTGTTGTCCTAGAATCGACATTCGGGAAGTCGCGGGCACGTTTTGGAAATAACACTCGCGTATATATCAGCGTGTTGATTATTTTTGATAAACAATGAGTGATTAAGTTTAAAAGAAAAAAGTGTAAAAAATCTATTTTATTGGTGAGGTTTCTAACAAAAAATCAACGCCGGATTATACTGCTGCATCGTCCAGTAAAATATTTGTTTTGGAAAATGTTCAAATTTGCCCCCCATTGACTAATAATGACAGTGATTCTGATTATGAAATATTTAACGATAATCCTTTTTCGTTGGAGCTCACGCAGTTAAACAGCACTGACGCTTCTAAAAAAACTAAGCGAATTGTTACCATTTGCGCGTAATGTGCAAGCAATCAATGTGCTTACCATGTTTTAATGAAAAACACTTTTCATAATTAATAAAACTTTTAGAATCGATAACTGAGATATTATTTTATTCCCATCACTACTTACTACACATATTGAACTATCTTCGGGTGCGGTACGAGATACAATCGATATCTAATTTTTTTTTGTTATTTGTAGTTTATTCAAATGTCGTAACTGCGTGCGAACCTAGCAAAATATAAAGCAATTAGCTATCTTTCACCCACAAAAAATTCAAAATATATATCATTGTTTTTTTGGAAGATATAAATTATTTTCAAAAGTGTATTTTTAGGAGACTGATTAGGTCTCAAACGCACCAGAGGATAGGCTTGTTACGAGATCTTTTAGGTATCCAACGCACCAGCTGAAAGTTCTTTAAAAATGATGGCGCAGTGAACGTGTTAATTGCAGTTTAATCTTTCTGCGGTTCTTAATATCCAATCATAATGGTATGTCGTATTAGTATAAACGACTAGGCTGTATCGCGGATTCTTGTAGGATACTATACCAATTTGAATATACCCTTGAATCACGAATGCACTTCCGGAATCACCCCTGAAATAATATCAATAGCATAGTGCAAGTTAAATCTAAGTAATTCATTAGTAATCAAACAAATTGTATATTATTAAGAATGAATGTTGAACTCTAGGCTTTAAAATTTAGTTTAGTCTTCACTTATCAAGTCAATGTATTCAAAATAGTGTAAAAACTATTTTAAAAAAGTTAGTATGGAGTTTCTTGCCCATTCTTCTCCATATGAAATTAACTTTGTTTAAATATTTTAAATAGGCCTAATTGAAATAAATGATTTGACTTTTAGCTTATTTTTATATATAAATTCTGAACCTAATTGTATGTGTTTTTTTTTTGTAAAATTCTTCTTCTACTTCCTAAATAATAGCACTGTTAAGAATGTTGGAGAGGCTCATCCCCTCCCAGCTTACTCGGTATCGCATGTGCATTCTGACATAACTTGATATAACAATTAAGCCTGGCTTTATTCAAAGGTTGGAGCAGTGTTAGCCAAGTGGCTCCTGCGTGCGACTCTCATCCTTGAGGTCGTAGGTTCGATCCCCGGCTGTGCACCAATGGACTTTTTCTATGTGCATTCAACAGTTCGCACGGTGGAGGAAAGCATTGTGAGGAAACCGGCTTACTTTAAACACCAAAAAAGTTGACGGCGTGAGTCAGGCACAGGCTGATCAACTGCTTGCTTATTTGATTGATACATGATCAACAGATACAGAAATCTGAGGCCCAGACCTAACAAGGTTTTAGCGTCGCTGTTTTATTATTCAAAGGTTAACGGATGGGAATGATAGATTTACAAAGAGTACTCTTACTGGTCAGGAGCTCCGCTTCCTCTTATAGGTCCAGCACAATATGTACCAGCTGGTAGATTTCCTAAAAGGCTGCATACATTATTGGGCTGAAACTTTTGAACTGTTGCCTTCAGTACAACAGTTTCTTCTTGTTCTGACTGTAATCATCATTTCATACCTTAAGGCAAAACGTTTATTGATAATAATAAAATGTTGTTAATTTATTATTAACATAAAATAGTCATTGTATTATTAGGGCTCATTCCCACGAGACGGTTTGACGGCGTCATGGTGTCCCATACAAGTCTAACGAACGGTTTTTCGCCGGAGCTAAACCCGGCGATCTCGTGAGCATGAGGGCTTAAGGTCTGCCCACTTCTCTCTCATACCTAACAGTGGTACCGCTAACGCTCATGCGATTATTTTAGTGCAGATAAGTATTATGGAAGTTTCACTTAACTCATTCAAGTGTAGAGGATATAAAAAAAACATTTACTACTAGATAACATACTATGGTCACCAACCCTTAGCGCTCATGCGAACGGGACGGGCTTAGTTCCGGCGAAATTCTTTGATTTGAGTGTGTGCGTGTATATTATGTGTCGACAATATTTTTTATTTTTGATATTATCTGTAGCAAATATTAACTAGGTATCTATAAAAATTTGTCTACTAACATCACAAATAAACAATGAAAATGTTTCATATGTGTGTTAAAAACCTGAGTATTTTTGTGGTATGCTTTCAATGCTGGAAGGTTATGCACAGGATATTATAACGCCCAAACGTTCTCCTTTCTAGTCCATTGCACGTTTAGACTTGTCGCGACAGGAGACAACCAGAACAGACAATCGCTTCGTTTCTGATATTAAATTCACCAATATCATCAAAAAGCTTACATTAACAACACCCCATCCAGCCATGTAGCCAGCCGACGGCTGCTTTGGATATTTCGCCATCAAAGCGACTCGTTTCACAAACCTTCCCAGTTCAATGGCGTTCCTCGCCATAACCATAGCTATATCAAACACCAGGGTTTCATCATTATAGTGCCTATGTTTGACATACTTCCTCACTGATTGTGTCCTCATTCTATCTATAACTTCATGCCCAAACTTTATAATAATATGGTCCCTTCGTACGGAATTGCATGATGAAAGACAATGCGCTGCTGTCAAGACTAAATGATTCGTGACCAAAGATCCTCCACAAATATAGGAATCCCCACAATTAATATCTAGAAACACAGAATGTGGGTACTGTGCTATCTGGGCATATTCACCACCAACAACGAAACCTTCCATGTCATTTTTGACAGCCTTAAACACAGATACAAAAGTCCACACGTGAATGTAAATTGTCATTGTTTGGTTTGACTTATCATTTTTGTTTTTTCATCGTATAATTTAGACCAGATGTTTTCTCGTTTGTATTTAGGTCTAATTAAATTGTTATTTGGTTGGCTGCGAACTAATTAGATTTTACGATACTTTTATCTTTATTGCTACTTTAAAAGGCTTTATTGAAGTACGAGTGTATTTGGAATTTGAATTCTTTATGGTTATTTTACAACAGCACAAAGTGAAAATTAAATACTTGTTTTAAAGTCTTGAAGTCTCTAAATGCAGTTGATCCAGCATAAGTATGGGTCTAATTGTTTTGATAGTTTTTAAATTAAATAAAGCACAGTAAACGATGTGCAACTCTTAACAATTAGAAACTACTTTATGTATTTTTTTTATTCATAAAAGATTGCCAACGCTCGGCACACTGATACATTGGCAAAAACAAACACTAAATACTATTTTTAATGTGACAAGCACTTAAAGGCAAACACGACATACATGTAGAGATCATACAAATATCAATCAAAACAATTATATTAAACAAAACAAACATTACAAAAAAACAAATACATACTGATAAAAAAAAATGAAATTACAAAAAACTAAACAAAAATCGATTTTATAGTGTGAGGGAAGCAACTATGGATATCCAGACCTAGCTCGTTTATCAGAATGCTTAATCTGGACATCGGGGAGCTTTACCAAAACGTGTTCTACGGAAAGGAGGGACAAATGGAATAATGGGATGCATGGGGTATCGAGAGGGTACACGAAACTTAAATTTTAGATAGAACGCTTTGACGCTCTAAAAAATAATAATTGTTAGATTTTTCAAATATTTTTGCTATTAAAAATAAATTGCAAATCTCGAAGACGGCTGGACTTTGTTTAATGTTTCGAGTAATTTGTTTCCTTTTTTATTCCTTGAACTACGAGGAAGGTTTTTATAAAGAAAAAAAAAATTCAGTCAGTTTTATTTAGTATACTAAGCTTTCTTTCCTGAAAAGCGAATATTCTCTATGGGTTGCATAGTAAAATAAAGGCTACTAAAAAGGTAGGCTAAAAAATCATATTAAGGCGAAAGGAAGTTCGCAGGGACAGCTACTACAGCTACAGTACTTCAATACAATAAATAATAGTTTAAAAAACTTAAAAACCCGCTTTTAAAGCACATCAAACTAAAAAGTGAAAAATAATTCCTAATTTAGGCTGAAAATGGTAATGAACAAAAAATACTGGTATTATTGTGAAAAAGCGTGGGTTGCTCGATTGACGAAAAATATGGCACAGAGCCATTTTATTTATCACTTTTTAGTTTGATGTGCTTTAAAAGCGTGTTTTTTAGTTTATTTAAACTATTATTTATTTTTATTTTTAGTTAATTTTTTTTTTCTTTTTTTTTTCATTTTTTTTTCGGATTATTGCATTGTCATCGATCTTTGACAGGTGCGCAAAGTTTGAATTAAATCTGTCCGTTAAAAGTGGGTCAAAATCGAGTCCGAAGGAGTCGGTTACATACATACATACATTCAGGTGAAGCTAATATAAAGCGTGTAAAAACATTCTGGCTCGTAAGCTTTCGTCAAATACAATCATAATAAAAGTGGTGTTAGATACCGTCTCACCAATGTTTTCTATAATCCAAATAACAATAGTTTTCTAGCTGTCTCTTAAGTAGGACTGGTTAATGCACTTTAAGTAAAAGATTACTATGATTTCTCGATTGAAACTTGTTATCATGTAGACTTATAAAACACTATATTTTTAAAATCGGAATACCACTATCAATTTTTTTTCTTTATTGCCATTTGGTGGGCAGAAACAATATCTAAACGTAATTAAAGTAACTAAATATTTACAATTTACTATATTGTTATGTGTTTATTAATATTCCTTACAAAATACGTCCTTTTTTATCTACTTCTCTATATAAATATGCTATAGATTGACAAGTATTAGGCCATTAATCTTGCTCCTAGAAATAGAAATGGAAGTTCTCTAAGACTAAACGGTACTCTAAATGTAAAGTAACTAAATGTACAGATATTTACAATATATTATATTGTTATCTGTTTATTTTTTTTTATAATACGGGGCAAACGAGCTTGCGGGACGACCAAAAAGGAGTCTTCGCAGCCCATAGACACCCATTTTTTGTGGGTGCGTTACCAGCCTTTGAGGGAGGAGTACACTCGCCCTTTAGACATTTGGAGGTCGTATCTCTGAGGGAAGACCCCCACCGGGAGTCGATTCCACAGTTCGCTAGTTCGCAAAAGAAAATGCCTTGTGAAACGGACTGTGGAAGACCTCCAACCATCAAGATGATGTTGGTGAAATTTAGTGGATTGTATTTTAATTTTGAACCAAATACGGATGTTTTTTTATATACTTTTCTGTATAAATATGCTACAGATTGACAAATATAAAGCAATTAATTATCTAGAAATAAAAATGGAAGTTCTCTAAGACTAAACGATATTTAAACCTACACACACTTACTAACAGTAACTAAACGTACAGACAATAAATTTCGCATATTTTCGAGTTCTATTCGAGTGCCCATAGTAGCGTTACGATAGCTGTGCACCGAGAAAAAGTATACAGCAATTGACGAAACCGTTATATAGAGAAGAGTGGAATAACTGTTTCGTTCCGTTTCCGGGCTCAGTAGAAATGTTTAAATAAGTATACACAAGTACACACATATAAATAAGTAGGGAGGGTCAATACAAGCTTAACTCCAAGTTTGTGGGGTTGGCGTGCTTGTCCCCGGCCGCCATCTTGGATAAAGGGGTCCAAAAACCACGTTTTTGGCTATATCTCCTAAACTATCCATCGTACATAAAACTTGTAAAGATACATTTTGTAGCAAATCGCCGTGTCTACGATTACGTCTATGTAACTTTTTATCATAAATCCAAAATTATGGCGTGGCGATTAAAAAGAGTGGCGGGGAGTTTATTGCCAGTTCTTCTCGTCCGTTCTACGCCCTTGATTTGAGAACTGGCAGGAAATGTAAAAATTATAAGCGTTTAGCATTATAAATGATTTTGACTTTCACTTTTGACTTGTGACTTTTGACTTTGACTTTGACTTTGACTTTGACTTTGACTTTGACTTTGACTTTGACTTTGACTTTGACTTTGACTTTGACTTTGACTTTGACTTTGACTTTGACTTTGACTTTTGACTTTTGACTTTTGACTTGTGACTTTGTCTTTTGACTTTTGACTTTCACTTTGACTTTTCCTTGCTAGAGTTGCCTGGAAGAGATCGCTTGTTAGCGATACGGCCGCCCGTTACCTTCTTAATTTACGTAGTATCAATGTATATGTACTAAATATGTAGTGCAACAAACGTTGATAAATAAATAAATAAAAAATAAATTATAAGCAACGGTCAAAATTAAACCCCATTTGTATAAAAATAAATTAGTCCATACATTAAGATACTCGGTCCCTTTTCATTACAGCGTAATCAAAATTTGACAGAAAGAGAGGAAAGATTAGTTTACTTAAAGGAGTGAAAGAGGCCTTTATTCATTGTAATGAAACGTACAAACAAGTTGTTTTCTAAATAAATTAGTATTACATGGGATTTAAACCTTAAATAATAATATGTTACAGTAAAAAGCTTGGTGCAACTAACAAAAGTACTATTATTGATGACAACTCAAGTTACTAGTTATATATGATTTATATATTTGAATTGAATGAACCAAACAGTCCATTGAGGTCCGAAGGTGAATAAATCTAGTTGGTCGCGACAGGCGCCGCGATGTCTCGAGCAACCATGTAAATGTCAAATGGGCCACATTCACGTGCTAACTTGAGAATTGTTGATAAACGCGTGTGATAGCGGAATGATCAAGCAGGTGTGTTTTGCAAGAAATTGTGTGTCAAAGTCGTTTTTGAATTTCGAACACTTTCCGGAAATTGTTAAAATTCTAATTTAGAATAATTATGTTAATACTTTAATTTCAGATACCTACTTCAAATTTATATTATTTTATATTGCTATCATATCATTCATTCCTAGATATCTATGTACCCTTTTTTGGCCTCCTCCAATTCCCGCCATTTCTGTCTGCACCACCAGCTGTCCTATCCACCTTCTAAATTGTCTTATTCTATGATATGGTTGCAATTATACTCTCATACTCCTCCGAAACGGCTCAACCGATTCTTATGAAAATTTTTATCCGTATTCAGTAACTCTGAGAATCGGCTAATTCTTTTTTTATTAGATAATTTTTTTTGTTTTTTTTTTATTATGTGACATTAAAAAATACACATAAACCTTAATTTTCACCCCTCTACGATCAACCCCTATTTTCATTTGTTAACTAAAACTTATGACTTGAACTCCGAGGTTTATATAGAGAAAAATTCACAGAAAAACCAAAAAGTTTTCATTCCGGAAAACTGAACAGTCTCTGGGGTAACATAGCAAAATGTTCCATGTCGGTATGTAGTAAAAAGGTAGGCTGAGTAAAATCACATTAAGGAGAAACGTAACATAACGTTTTATATTATAAATTATTTGACATTAATATAGTGCAATACAAAAATAGTGGAGCCTTGACTTTCCAAGGCATCAACTAGTTTCAGACATATCGATATCTACAATCGAATCATTAATCGATAGACGCTCCGATCGAATTAAAATCGTTAGAATTTCCGTTGATTCATTCTCTTTGTTGAAACTTAATCCTGCAAAGGTCGTACAGTAAATTAGAGAGATAAGGGATTCAACGGGCTTCGGTGGTCTTGTAAATAGGAGCCTCATTACGTTGCACTAACGAGAGGCTGGCACGTGCTTTGAACGGATTTTGGATGTGGCGGTTCACATATGTAAAGTTGAAGTTTGGTATGTTTCAATGATATATAATATTGTTTTCCTCTTTACAGATTATTACAGTACTAATATCGATATTGATTTATTAAAGTTCACCACATACATAAGGATATCTACAGTATATGTTACATCTTTTCTCAAATACAGTGTAAAGTCTTTAT